GAAGAGGATGGTAGGGCGCCGGCCTGCCATGTGGGGAGAGCAGGAAGGAGGGATGCAGGGTGAAGGAGAGGAGAGAGGTTGGGGGGCTCAAGGCGCACTCTCTGTCACAGCACGTTCTCAGGCACCCATGGTGAACACCAGCAGATTCCCTCGAAGTTCTTCAGTGGCTGACGACTCACAGATGTACACACAAGGCTGGGTGCGGGGGCCAGCTTCCAGCAGCTACGCCACAGCCACCCTCATCCTCCACCCCACTCAGAGGTCTCCCTGGGAACTAGGTAAAAAGGTTCAGGAAGGACATTTCTTCACTTTGCCAGGAAGCTATCAGAAAGTCATTCCCGGAGTGCTGGGTGCGTGTGCATACTCCCCGGCACCCCGGCGGGGAGGCTTGTCTGGTGCAGCCGCAAAAGTTTTGCGGGGATGGATTCCAAAGCTCTCTCAGGACCTGTGAGTCCCAGGAAATAAATCACCGCAGGGGTGACATTCCAGGACACTGACTGCGCTTGCTTCTGGCTAATCTGGAGCACCGTGTTTCTTTTAAACATCTCATTGGATTCTCTTGGTGTGGTGGAGCACCCCTGTAATCCCAGCATGGAGTAGGCTGAGGCAGAATAATCCCTGAGTTCAAGGCCAGCCGAAATACACACCAAGAATTTATCTCAAAAAAAAAAGAAAAAAGAAAAGAAAAAGAAAAAAATCCCATTTTTTTCCTTTTAGAAAATAAATAAGAGAAGGCATTAAAGATGAGAGCAGTAAGACACGAGGAAGACAGACATCATCTGCCTTTTTGTTATGCCTCAGAGCTTATTTCTTTACTTCTCTAGCAGAAATTAGGTCCCTTCAGCATCGGCTTCTGCAAATCTGTCCACCCTAAAGAGGACAGTGAGGGCTGCAGACGCCCATGGTCTTTACCTGGCCTGTCCACAGCATGACGCTCTGTGGGTGCTTCCCGAGCTGCAGGTGTCTGCTCCTGAGGAATGGGAAAGGCCCGGGCCCAGCTGCATGGGCAGGCAGGGCAGGGCCGGCAGGGCTCCTGCAGGCCTGGGGTGTGGTCTGAGAGTGGCAGGGTGGGATCCCTATGTGTGACCCCCGTCACCTCCAGAGAGCTGCCCCCTCCACCACACAGGGTGACGGAGGCGACAGTCAGCTGTGTACATTTTGGCCAACTCCAGGCACCAACAGGACCTCAAGTCTGATGAAGAGATGGAACTAATCTATAGCCAGTACTGGGAACGCCAGGCGTGCCATGGGGTTAAGGCCGATCTGAGCGACTGCTGTCATGTTGTTAAAGATGAAGCACAAAGTGTAATTAATCAGAGAACCTCCCCAAAAGACAACTAAAAGTTCAGGTTGCACAGGGTGTTTCTCAACCCTCTCTCAATGTTCTAAATATAGACTAAGAAGAGGATTCTAGGAGCCCAACAGCCCAGCTCCATTTTCTGAGGTTAAACTCCCTTTTAATCCCTTAGCATGCTGATGGGAATTATGGTTTTAGAAAGTCACTGTCATAAGACAGGGACATTAAACAGAAATGTCGAGGACCAGAAGAACAATAGGTCAGAGACAGACAGTGGCCACTGGAAAGGGCTCCCATGGCCAAAGCTGGGATTGTAACCCACCGAACCAAAACTGCGTCCGTAAGTTGGTTCCGACAACAGAGGGATGAGACCAACAACGAGCCTGAAAAGGTAAACACACCTAAGTGTCCATCAGCGGGTGGACACAGCTGTACAAACACGACACAGTGGAATACTGCCGGTCCTGAGGACACAGGCTTCCATATGGATGAGCCTTGAAGATAGGGCACTAAGTGCAACACGCCGTGCAGGAAAGTCAGTACTGTAGGACGGGCACTTAGGAGCTGTCGAGCTCGCAGACCAGAAGCCGAGTGGCAGCTGGAGGAGGAAGTCAGTGTCTGTGGGGACAGAGCCTCCACTAGAGAGACGGATGAAAGCTGTGGCCGGACGGTGCGCTGACCCCAGCTAGTGTCCCCAACGCAACCGCCCTGTGTGCTTAAAATGCCCAGAATTTGTTAGATAGATTTTACCACAATAAAAACCAAAAGGAACAAGTATCATAAAGATCTTCTAGGCTTTTACACCCACAGGCACAAGTTACCTGGCCTCAACCTTTCTTCCATAAAGAAAGCACCTGGCCCTTCTTCTCTGCATGGTTAATTTAATCAATGTTTTAGGAAAACAATGCAACTTATTTCCAAGGACAGGTCCCTCATCCCCTTCCTTTTAGTTGGTACTGGGAGCATGCTCGGGACCTTGCACTTGCCAGCCAGGCGCTGGGCCCCTCATCATCTCCTTCCTACAGGTCCGAAATCTAGAAAGCTCTGGAAAAAAAGATGTGTTTGGTCCAAACATATGCACGGTGGTAAACTGAGCTGGACCCCCCGGGCCGAGTGCGGCCCTGGCTGCGCTCTCTCTGCTCGGCGTGAACGGTTATGTTTTGCTGCACAGGGACAACTGCGCTTGATGCTGTCGCCATCTGTGAATCTCCTGTGAGCACTCACAATGTGTACTGTGTCGGCATTTTGTCAGAAAGGTCTGAAAACTTTGCGTTCCAAAATAAACCTGGCCCCAAGACCTCCCAAGAAGGAAGTGCTTATCCCTACAGAACTAACCGAGTCAGATATCAGGCCTGGATCTCCACAGCTCTCATCGTTCTCTGCCAGGCCGACTGTCAGCCACCTTCACACCACACCCGCGCTGCCAGGTCCTCTGATCCAGCACCTTCTTCTAGCTGCGGTTCTGCCTCCTGCAGTCTGTTACCTATGGTCAACTGTGGCCCAAAAAGATTAGGGGGGAAATTCTAGAAATTCCAGTTTTAAAATGAACAGTTTGTTCTGAGAAGCACAATGAGATCCCATGCTTCGGCACAGGCTGTGGCCACCCGTGTCTGGCATCTCTACACGGCAGATGCCACCCAGCTGCGACCCTGATGTCGGTCTGTCCAGGGAATCTCTATTTTGGTGAATAATGCCTGCGCTGGTTACTCCTGACTGACACCGTGCCTGGGGCCAGAGACTCCTGGGATGACGCACCGGTGAGTTCATAGCTGACGGGCTGTGGGGACCGGACTCTGCGGACTATGACGTCCCTGGCTGCCTCATCCCTAGCTCTTCTCCTGTGCTCTGCTTCTGAGTGCCTGGAAGAAGGCAGTGTCACCTGCTGCACCCTCCACCCACCTTGGGCAGCTGACCATGGATGACAGCTCTGAAACTGCAAGTTCCTTTACGTGAGGACACTGGATTCTGTCCCAGCAGCACGAAACTGATCAACACCCGGCCAAACATCAGAATAGAGATGCTGTGATTCAGATATGCCAAAGAGCAGCCACACGCGCTCATTCTAGGCAGCATTTCACGTCAGCACAAGAAAGTACACGCAGTGCAGCATGACCTGACACCTCGGCCTGTGCGTGCAATTCAGTGGCAACCACAACTGTGGAGCAAAATCTGCCACCAGAATCATGCAAAGGGTCGAGTTCACGAGCTGAGGTGCCGCTGCATTTTGAGACAGATAATATTCATGTAATTTTTATTGCAGTATGTTGTGTTAGTTGTATTTGTACCGCTGCTAGTCATGAGGCCCTGGACACGTCCTCGCTGGAGAAGGCGGGACTGCCACACCTGCCCCCAGATGGGCTCACCTTTGAAAGTCTGCAGACCTGCTCGGGGTCTGAAGAGTCAGACAGCTTAACAGAGTCATGGCAGCAGGAACCTGAGACGTTCACTTGCCTGAATCGTCAGAAAGATGAAAGAAATCCTGCAAACAAAATAACTGCCTCCTGGTGACAGAAGCTTCTGTCTCACATGCCAGGAAACTGCCTAGAGAAGCCGGCACCCCAGCACGCAGGCGAGGTCCACCGAAGTGCCGGTTTCATTTGGGAGGGACAGGACTGCACCAAAGCAAGCCCTCGTGGCGAGGAGGGAAAGGCGCCCCACCTCTCTTCTGTTCTGACACCCAGCACACACCACCTCGATCCAGCTTCAACTGTCCACTTAGAAGGCCCACGCCATAGTCGTGTGGCGTATAGCTCTGGGGCCACCCCTTGGCCAGATGACAGGGTCTTGATCAACACAGACTGACAGACCCGAAGGTGACCAAAGCAGCCTGCTGCCTTAACTGCTGTAAGCCACGGCCTCAAAGTCAGCCGTCAGATTTACTTGATGGAGAAAATAGATCTCTCTTCAAAGCACAGTCAAAGAGATGTCAGCTAGGTACACTTAAAAAATAAACAATGAAATGAACTGGGCAGAAGGGAAAGACTTTCCTTAGGATCCTAGGACTTAGAAACATTGATGGCTAGTCAGAAATGCCTACTGTGCAATCATTACAAAATTAAAATAACTACCGCACATGGGTTCCAACAAGTGATCAAAGTTAGCATCACTTAAGGGGAAAGCGCCTACCAGGAGCTCCTGCCCGGGCCTGAGCAGGACCAGTAATCCCCTCCAGGCCCGGCCCAGGCCTAAGGGGGAGGGACAGTAAGGGGGAGCAGGAGGCAGCTGTCGCAGGACCGCGGCCCACACGCTGCACAATGTCAGGCAAGACCAAGCGAGGCTGCAGCTGTGCCGCGCCACAGTACGAGCCTCAGACTGCACCCTACGCCAGGAGGGGTGTAGGAGTCTTGGGGACTCTTAGGGAATGTGGACAGCAGCATAGAGAAACGATCGAGTCAGTGCTAAGCTCCCCAGTTTGATTACTACAGGCAAGCTAGTGAGTATCTCTTCGAAGGAAATGTGCATTTATGCATTAAGGGACATGGAGGTACAATTTCCTGAACTTGCTCTCCAATGGTTAAGAAAGAAAGTGCGTGTCTGCTGGAAGCCAGACCCTGACTCATGTCAGCAGCAGGTGACCACAGGGAACAAAGACTGAGAGGTCTTCTACTACTCTTGCAACTTTTCAGGAAATTCCGAACTAGGTCCCAGCAATGGTCACCCCATCCATACGGCCACCCACTGCACCAGCGCCCACGAGCCTCACCATCCTCCTGAGGATCCGCAACAGAAGCTTCTGGTCCTTGGTGTCCTTCCGGAAGGCCAGCACGTGAGCAAAGCTCTCCGCGTTCTCAGGGCACAGGCTGTCTGGGATCTCCCCTCCGTACAGCTGAACCAGGACAGACAGGCACTTGGAGGAGACCTCGAAAACTTCGGGATCCTCGCTGGGAAGCTGCAAGTCAACAGGGGAGCACTGAGTGGAGACAGTGCTGCCGTTCCCCCTGAAATAGCTCGACAGGCCGAGGAGGGCGGCAGCAGGCTGAGCGGGGTGCAAGCGTGACCAGCGGAATGCTGTTCTGAATGCATCTTTCTAAAAGTTATACAGTGGCTCAAATGAAGCTCAGGGCATGAAGTCAGGAGATGCTGCAGCCTCCCTGTAATGCACCACAAGCGATGGCCTACAGCTGGCGGGCGAGCCAGCTAAGCTCTGTGCACACATCTGATACATGTATGCATGTACTAGTGTGTGCTCACGGGCCTGTGTGTGCCAACGGGTGTGGACAGGCTGATTTCCCACAGGCAGGTCCTGATCACTCATCACTTATCCAGGAAAAACCTACCTCCGAGGTGACATTAAGGAATCTTATCTACATCCAAGTTGTTACTGACTGAGAAATCAAGCACTGCTCCTCTAAGCATTAAAGGCTATAACATGAAATACTAATCATGTTATAAATGTACATATTGACAACTGTACTTTTTAGTATCTTATTTATCATAAGTTTTATTGAGATGTAGCCTTCTACACCATGCAAGCTACCCAAAGTGTGTATTCAACTGTTTTTAAGTCCGCTCACAGCTGTGGGCTGTCACCGCAGCCAGGGTTTTCTCTTGTGGAGGCCTGGACTTGAGGCCATGGTCCGCAGCCCACCGAGCCACACAGCAGCCCCACAGCCAGCCTGCAGCTTTGCGTTGGCCCTGCGGGGCGCTCACGCCCCACAACCCCTAGCCAGTCCCTTCTCAGCACTAATCTGCTCTCGTCTCTGGATTGGCCTCCTTTGGATGCTGAGGTAAGTAGGCCACACCAAGGTGCTGCTGCCTTCTTGGACTCAGCCCGTGTCCTGGGCTCAGCCACACCGCCGTGCATCGGCACTTCCGGCTCTCGGCCGGGGGCACTACAGGCTGCAGGGCACCCCGTCTGGCTCCGCAGCTGATAGGTATTTGAGGTGGCTTAAAATTTGGGACTTCTGGGAATGCCTGTGTGGCAGTTTTTGTGTGGACATATGGGGGTGAGGCACCTAGGGGCAGAACACAGGTCACACGGTGACCCGACAGCTAACCTTCTAGACAACAGCCACCACGTTCTCCAAAGCGGCCATGCGCACCTGCGATGGATGAGGGTTCTGGCTGCCCACATCCTCATGGGTACCTGCTACTGTCTGTCCGTCCGATTCTGGCCATCCCAGTGCACACGTGGACGGTGGCTGGTGGCTAATGGTGGCGAGTATTTTCGCATGTGTTCAGGGCCACTTGTACATACGCTTATGGCATCTAATATGTAACCAGATACAGTCGTACCTCAGTTTATAAACACCCCTGCTCCCAAGCCATGTGATTCATGAACAGAACCATTCAGCAAAGCTTTGCTGCTGTTCAGGAGCTCCACGTTGGGTGAAGCACATGACTGCGGCCGTCCTCCCCAGAATCGTGCAATAAATTAAGTTCGTGAACTGAGGCGTCACTGTATTTAAAGCATATAATTCCTTAACAGATTTTTCTTCCTATTCTGCAGGTTATCTTTTCAATTTCCTTTTAAAAGCTAAGTTTATTGGCACATTTTATGTAGATTGGTAGATATTAGTCATAGGGAATTTATACCCGTACATGATGTATTTTGATTCCTTTTTTAACCAATCCTCTCTCCACCCCTCAACCCCTTTTCCTCTGCCTATTTACAAAGCTTTGTTTCCATTTTATTCTTTTCCTTAGCATTTTTTCTTCTCTCTTCTCCTCTTCCCCTACCCTACTTTCTCCTTCCTTTTGAACCATTTCTTCCCATTTCACAATATCTATTGTACATTTTGGACTTCATTTACTCTTTCAGTTTCTTACACCAAGGAAACAACGTGACATTTGTATGTGGCAGTTTGCTTCATTTAAGAGTACAGTCTCTAGTTGCATTCCTTTACCTACAGACGTCTCAAGTTTATCCTTCTTTATAGCAGAGTAGTATTCTATTGTATAAAAATAAAACCCCTGTCTCTTTTATCCATTCTTCCGTTGATGGGCATGTGAGGTGCCTCCAAGGTTTTCTATCAGCAGCTGTCTTGCTATAAACATGGCTGCACACACATTACTGTGATACAATGTTGTAGTTATTCTAGGAAGACCCCCCAGAGGGTCCTGCTGGGTCAAATGGGATCTCAAGTCCCAGTTTTCCGAGGAATCCCCATACTGTCTCCTCAGTGGCTGCTCCAGCCTACCCCCCACCAACCATGGGGAAGGGACCCTTTGTCCCTCCATCACTTGACACTGGCAGATTTCTTGGCAATAGCCATTCTTTCTGGAGATGGAATCTCAGAATTGCTTTAATTGGCATCTCTTGAATGACCAGCGAGGCTGAGCATTTTTCACGTATTCATCTGCATTTCTATTTCCCCACCTGAGAAGTATTGGATTCATCTCAAAAGGACACTTTTTGGATTGCATCTTTAAATTTGTGGGGGTCTGATTTTTTAGTAAGTCCTTTGTCTGAAGGACAATTGGCTAAAATTTTTTCCCACTATGTGGGTTGTCTCCTCACTCTGCTGATGATTTCTTTGCATGCAAAAGCTTTTTAATAGAATGAGATCCCAGTTATTGATCCTTTTGTATTATTTCCCATGTGATCAGGGTTTTGTTCATGAAATCTTTGCCTATATCTATGCCTTCAAAAATTCTGCCTGTGACATTTTTTTCTTCTCTCTT